TATGGGATAGGTAGGGTGTTAGTGGGGGGCAGGGGAGGAGGGGAGGAAAAGAGACCTGGGATTGACACATAAAATAATCTTGTTTCTAATTTAAATAAAACAATGGGGAAAAAGAATAAAACATCTTACCCTATGCAAAAAAAAAAAAAAAAATGGTGGCAAGAGGCTGGACAGATGACATGGGTTAAAGCGCTTGCTCCACAAACATGAAAACCTGAGTTGGCATCACCAGAAGCCCATGCATATGCTGGATGGGGAGATGCCAGGTGGGCTGAACAGCCTCCTGCCATTCTAGCCCAGAGAGAGCAAGACTAACTGTTAGCAGTGAGCACTGGGTTTGACTGAAAGAGCCTGCCTCACTGGGAAGCAGGAAGAGTCCAGGAGGAATCATACGCACGCACCTATACATACATGTGTGCACACACATTCAAAACTACACAGATGCTAGGCAAGCATTCTGCCACTGTGTGTGTGGTAGTTTGAATGCAATTGGCCCCCATAATCTCATAGGGAGCGGCACTATTAGAAGGTGTTGCTTGTTGAAGTAGGTATAGCCTTGCTGGAGAAAGTGTGTTACTGTGAGGGTGGACTTTGAGGTCTCTTTTTGCTCAGATATCCCTCAGTATGACTTTCAGTCGACTCCCTGTTGCCTCAGCTACAGCTATAGCATCCTGTCTGGCTGCATATCACCATGCTCCCTGCTATGATGATAATGGATTGGACCTCTGAAACTATCATCGAACCACCCCAATTAAATGTTTTCTTTATAAGAGTTGCCGTGGTCATGGTGTCTCTTCACAGCAATAAAAACCTGAAGACAATTATATCCACAACTCTCTTTTTTCCATTTTATTTTGAAAAAACGTCTTATTATGTTGCCCAGACTGGCCTTAAACTCATTCTGTAGCCCAGGCAGCAATCACTGACTCTGTTACACTTCTGCTACCCAATCTCTCCAGTAACTGGGATCACAGGCCTGTGCCATCAGGAGCAACACTATACCTATTTTGAAGAAGTCATAGATAATACTATATAGATAATCAGAGTAACACCTCCAGTTTGGGGCTAGAGAGATAGCTCAGCAATTAGGAGAACTAGTTTCTCTTCCAGAGGACCCAGGTTCAATTCTCAGCATCCACATGGCAGTTCATAACTGTCTAGCAACTTTAGTCCCAGAGAATTAGATGCCCTCTTCTGGCCTCCGCCAGCACTAAGCACAGTACACCAAAATACATGCAAGAAAAACACTCAAATGCATAAAATAAATAAAAAACAAATACCCCCACTCACACAGCTAAAGTTTCAGGTTATTTTTTGAGCCTAAATTTTAGGCCCTAAAACAAACCAACCTCCAGTGTCAGCTGACTTTGGAAAGGAAAGAGGATCTCAGCTGAGGTTCACATGTTACAGCTCTCTAAATGGGTGATTGTAATGGAGCCTAAAGCTTTGGTTTGCTTCTGAGCAGAAAACAACCAAGCATTGTAACTTCTATATAGGAGGCATCTGCTGGTCTCTGGGGTGCAAACACCATGGACAGTAAAAGGCAGACCACTCCTACTAACAGACTGCACAAGGCTCCAGGCCCCAGAGGAATCCCCCCAGAGACTGGTTCTATACATGTGTGTCACTCCCCTAGCTTTCAGAGTCATTCCTTCTGTCCCCAACCTGCCACTGTCACACACCTAGTGCTCTTGTTTTCCCACTTTGCCTTCATTCCATTTGTACTTAACTGAAGGCAATAAAATCTTGACTGCTGATTTCTACCCTAACCACTCAGAAGCACAGTTTGAGCCTCCCCCACCACCCACAGAAGACATTCCACAGCACCTCCAAGCCAACCCACTTTGCATAGCATAGCTTTCCCAAGCCCTGTGGCTCCTGATGCCCTAGGGCCAGTTGTGGCCAGGTTAGGTCAGAGTCTTAGATCTCTTACATGCTGGGCACACTCAACAGTTTCTCTTCCTACACTGGTCTGTTTTTCTCACTATGTGTAGATAGACTGGAAAAAATCATGTTCTCAGCTGTGAATGTATCTTAGTTGGTAGAGTGCTTGTCTAGCAGCACAAAGCACTGGGTTTGATCTCCAGCATGTCATAAACTTGGCATGGTGGTGCATGCCTGTAACCCTAGCACTGGAAAGGTCAAGACAGTAGGATTAGAGAAGTTCAAGGACATCCTTGGCTAAATGGGGAGTTTGAAGCCAGGCTAGACTACATGAGACCAAAGAAGAGAAGAAGAAGAAAGAGGGGGAGGGGAGGAGGGTCAGAGGAATCAGAAGAAATAAAAGGAAAAGCAAACAAGAAAAGGCCTGTGGTTTGGATTAGAAAGTCATCTATGTATTGACCTTTGCTTCCCATGGCCTTGTTTGAACTTGGGAGTCTCAAGAGAGTAGTTGCTTGAGTAGGAGACATGGCTCAGCTTTTAAGAGTTCACACTGATCTTGACTAGGATCCATGTTTGATCCCCAGCACCCACATTAGGCATCTATCTCATAACTGCCTGTAACTACAGCTCCAGGGAAGGTAATTCCTCCCACCTCTGTGGGCACCTGTGCTCACATGCACATACCATGCACTTTCATATGCTTTTTAAAACACAATGAAATGATAAGCATTTTAAAAAGAGAGTTGCTAGCTTTTTGATTCAAATTAAAAAAAAGACTGTTTCACAATCAACATCCCATGATTCATGTGAAGAAGCCATCTGGTTTTATTAGGATGAAAATGGAGAGGTGGCTGGGCTGGACTGAGCTGGGCTAATTCCCATCAGGGCTTCTTACTGACTGCACCCAAGGAGGCTGTTTACTTTCTGGGGCTGAGAAACAATCTTGGCAGCATTCAGTTTGTCTATACTGCTGTAGCAGTACAAATTGGGCCCGTGGATAAGGTACAAACTGGGACCACTGGAAGAACATGAGTTGGGACCAAGGGACTTTTCCAAACACAGAGCCCCGTCAATTTTCTCATGGGGCCAAGAAAGCTCTGTCCATGTCGCCTGAACACCCAACTTCAGGTCCAGCCACCATAGCCGCCGTCCTGGGAAGAAGACAACAAACTTAACATGGCTTCTATATCACGAGAATCTCAACTTAGCTTTTCTCATTCCCACCTGGTCATCTATGTCATGAATAGTTAGCAGAACAAGACACCCCTTAGTACCCAAAGTTCCTCACCTGCTGTAACATAGAGCCTGGAAGAACCAGGGCAGGTAAAGGTTGAATCCACAGTCTCCAGGCTGATCCCAGGAGGGCTCCCAAGTTCCTTCTCCAACCGCTTTGGATAACCATTTACTAGGGTATTGCCTCCCTTTGTCAGGAAGACATACACTTGAGTGCCCTAGGGGACAAATGAGATTAATCAACATAGACCTGTATAGTCTTGTCCTGTCCCAGTTTCCATCCTAAGTCTTTCTCCCAAAACACACCTGGATGAGATAGACTTTATCATCCCAGGAAAAGGCAGCATCTACTGTTGCAGGCCCCTGGGGCCAGTGATGAGCAATGGGCCAGCTATGCCAACCATCACGGCTGGAGTCCAGACGCCAGTAGTGGGAGCCTGTAGGATATCAGAGGTAGTGCTAGTGCTGGTGGTAAAAGCTAACATAGTGAAAGAATAAGCAATGAATGCAGTTTGAGTTATGAGAGGGAAAGAATGCATGCAGAGGCCAAGAAGGAACAGGGAGAGTGAGGGGAGAGCCATGTTGGGGACTGTGGCTCCACTGGAGCTGGAGTGAGTAGAGGCCCCAAAGAGAGGCAATCATGGAGAACAGCAGACCAGACTTCAGCAAGTGTGTGTGGTATATGTGAGTAAGGCATATGCACATGTGTATGGAGGATATATGCACTCATACATGTGTGCAAAGGCCATAGGAGGATGTCGGCTATCCTGCTCTATCAATCATTCTCCACCCCATTCTCTTGAAAACCAGATCTCTCACTTACTCTAGAGCTAGGCTAGCAGCCAGCAAACCCCAATGGTCCATCTGTGTCTTCTCCCCAAAAGTAATGGGTTACAGGTGTACACTCTAGTTTACCCAGCCTTTTACATGGATCCTGGGGAATCCAAACTCAGTTCCTCACACTTGAGCAGCTAGCAAGCTTACTACCTGAGCCATTTCTCCAACCTCTTTTATTATGTATACAGTGTGGTCTTCATGTACCCCTGCAGGCCAGAAGAAGGTACCAGATCTCATTACAGATGGTTGTGAGCCATCATGTAATTGCTGGGAATTGAACTCAGGACCTCTGGAAGGCCAGCTAGTGTTCTTAACCACTGAGCCATCTCTCCAATCTCTTTTATTCTCATAGTAACTTACTAAAAGAATAGACTCCCACTTTCCCTCATTGCTCTCTAATTAGGCTTGTGTTTCTATCCTCCATTGAAATTGTTCCTATCAAGGTCAGCACTGTCCTTCAAATCTAATGGTGAATTTCTATCTCCTGGCTTTCAGCAGCAATTAACTGCTCACCACTTCCTTTTCCTTACAGACAGGGTCTCAGTTCTTATGTAGGCTATGGAGCTGTGGGTGGCATTCATGAACTTCTCTGCTTCCACCTGCCATGCCCAGCTTATATGGTGCTAGGGATCCAATCCAGAGCTTTATTGCATGCGAAGCAAACACTACCAATTGAGCTACATCCCTAACCATTCCATCCTCATTAAACATTCCAAAAAAGAAAATCTTGTCTCCTACAATTCCAGACTCATCCAGTATGGAACTTATCTTTTTGACTACCCCTTTTGGTCTTCTATCTAAGAGATTAGAGTCCCTATTTTGTCCTCTTTTCTTCTCTAAATGCCTTTACCTCCCTTGGTGGTCTCATAAATACCATCTGTGTGGTAGGACACCACAGACTGACTCTTTTCCATTCAGACTGACATCTCCTTTGAACTTTAGGCTAAAACTTAATTGTTGCTGGAGAGATGGCTCAAAGGTTAAGAGCACTGGCTGCTCTTCCAGAGGGCCTGAGTTCAGTTCCCAGAAACCACATGGTGGCTCACTACCATCTATAATGAGATGTGGTGCCCACTTCCAGCCTGCAGGCATACATGCAGGCAGAACATTGTATACATAATAAATAAAATTTCAAAAAAATTAATTGTCCACCTGACACTTTAATTTGGTCCTTTTTGGTACCCCAAACCTAGGATGTTCCAATCAATCTCTGCTCCCAACACACACACACACACTTTGCCTGTGGTTCCCCCCAGTGATCCCACACACTCACCATAGATGCATAATCTCCTGACACACGTTGTTACTACAACATGTGTTCGCAGCTCAGCTCTGTACTGTCACAACACGTATGTCTCATAAAAATGTGCAGTTACACGTTTTTTATTAAGGTGTGTATTCATGCTGAGAGGATACACTTTTGATGTAGCTATATAGTTCTCAATAGAACTTGTTAATCACAACATACCATATTTGCTCAGAAGTTAGGAATTAAAAAGATATTTTTACTTTTCTGTGCCCTTGCCATTTATGCCACTTTTGCTACATATATCTCAGGTTAAATGTAATGTGGTTTGTTCCCTCCCCAGTTTGGAGATGTCTAGATGGTCTTCAGTGTAGAGAGTGCCCTGTCACTACCTGCCTAAGGAGCTGTTTGTCCCAAAATATCATAAGTTGGCTTTTTACCAACTGATGACACAGATCAAGGGATGGGTCTCTTAATTGAACATTTAAAGCAAAAAAAATCTCCCTGAAGCTACTTCCTAAGGGTCTGGAGTATGCAAGGGTCTGTTTGTTAGCAGTGGGCACATCTCATCTCTAAGTGATGCTGAGTCCAGAGGCCAGGAAGTAAGAACTAAACACGTTGGAAAGATGGGGCTCCTGAAATGAATTAAGGGGGAGCCAGAGTACTCAGAAAGGCATATGTGAGAGCAAATGACACAAGGAGGCACAGACACACAGGGAGATCCAGAGAGCAATTGAGAGCCAGTAGTCTCAGAGACATGCAAGAGCAAGGGATACAAGCAGGTGTGGACACACAGAGAGGTCCAGAGAGCAAGTGACAGTCAGAGAACTCAGCAGGGCAAGGAAAACATGAGAAATACCTGGGGACATAGGGGTCCCACAGAGTACATAGACAAGGGAGTAGATGACACTGAGAATCAGACATGTAAAAGGAAAGCCTGGACAATGAAAGATAAGGTTGAAAATATGCATCTGAGGAGATGGGAGTGCTAAATGGAGGTGAGGTACAAAGGGACAAAATACAGGACATGGTGATTAAAGTGGAGGGGCTATATCAGAGAAGAGAGGTATAAGCAAAAGAGACAGGAGGGTAGAGATGGGGAATTTGGGGTAGTCTCTCACCAGTGAAGGCATAGGTGGCACCACGGTGGTCAGACATTAATGCAGTCAAGCCAGGATCTGGGCTACAGCGGGAATGCATAGGATGGGTGCTATTCCTGTGACCAGTTGCATTTCTGTGTCTACCATGGCCTGGAAGAGAAATGGGTGATGGAAACACACAGAGAGGGAGGGAGGCTGGGATTAGAGTAGGTTCTGCTGATGAAGAGATAGCCAAGGTTAGTAGGAATATGGGTTTTCCTGTTTGAGGATAATGGCGGGAAGCACACCTAAGATACCGATGTAGAGTACAGAGTTAAGGTGGGAGGTAAGCATAGGAGGTCAGCAAACTCAGCTGGGCATGGGTAAATTCCAGTAGGTCCCAGAGGCTGAGGCTTTCTCACCTCTGCCAGGGCAGGGCATGAAGTAGTCACGGGCATCCAGAGGGTATCTGGGAGGCACCTCTCCTGTGACTGGGTTGAAGCGCAGGAACTGGTTACCCTGGAAGCAATAGTAGCGTTCAAGCCACCTCAAGGCTGAGGTGCAATTCCCAACAGCTGGCCAGGACCGTTCTTTTATGGTTCTTGTAGCAAAGTCCCAGAACCACTTGCGGTTACCTACGACCAAGAAATCAAAAGGCATTCAGTGAGGCTGGGTTTTGTGCACCTTGGGCTTGCACTGGGGCCCAGAATAGGTGGGATACAGTAGATGGCTACATGGAGCCAACAAACAGCAGGGAGGCAGTTGAACAGTTGAATACATCAAAAGCCAGAGCAAAGTGTACATGATCAACCCAGTAATAGGAAGAGTTGGGAGAAGTCAGAGAAAGAGGAAACAAACTGAAACCCGAGGTAGGAGTTTTAAGGCAGACAAGAAAGGAAACTGAAGGCAAATTTGGTATATAGGGAATAGTGTGTAGTTTCTGGAGACAAGGTCAGGGGGTGTTAGTAGTCAAAGTGGAAAGGTCGATAGGAGTTTGGTCATGGTGAGATGTGTACATGAGGCCATGGAGCACAGGTCTGTCCCAGTGTCATGAGGAACGAAGGAGAAATGTTAGGCCAGTTACCTTCATTAGAATGACTTCTACCCCTTCCTCTAGCCTGTCACGGGCCTTTCCATTCATTCTCTTTCCTTATAAAGCCAACAGTGGCTCTTCTGCCATCACCATGAGCACCCTGAGTACCATGAACCCAGCTGTGTTTTCAGATCCTGTGTGGACACACCTTGAAAGAAGAGTATGCCTTCACTCGGGCATTCTCCATAATGGCATTCCACAGCCGCATCCAGTGGGTATGGGATTCCAGGAAATTCTTCTTGGAGCAACTTTGGATATCCGTTTTCCTTCTTTTCAGGAGGGTATACCCAGACTTTGTCTCCCTGCATTCAAAAGCACTCTCTTGGGAACTGTTCAGCTCTAGATACATTGCATGCACATGCAGTTTTGCTCTGTTGCACTTATTCAGCATCTCCTTACAGCTTCATGCATTTTCAGTCCACTAATGGAGTACACCATGTTGCCCCTTGTACAACACATACTCTCAGCCAGCACAGTCACCATACTACAATGCATTCACATCTGACTATGTATAACCAGGCGCTCCTGTGGCACACTTAATTACAGCACTCAGTTTGGCAAGCACATCCACAAGTAGGTATCTTCTAATCACTCACCCATTCATATATTCATTTGCCCATTTATTTATAGATTCATTCAAGAAACATACACCGAATGACTATTACAGGATGAGCATTATGAGAAGCATCCAGGGATAACAAGAACCCTTGAAAGCAACTGTTTCGTCCCAGCCATTCAGCCACCAAGGTGAAAAGCATGCAAAAGCATATGAATAAAATAGGGGGAATGTTTAATTATGTCTGGAAAAGTCCTAGAAAGCATGGAAAGAAAGTATATGGTCGAGTTGAAAAATGAGTGTGAATTTACCGGGTAGACAGAGGACAGCAGGATAGAGGATCCTAACATGTATCGAGTACTCAGAAGACTGTGTGTGACCTCATGCGACTGGTACACAGTGAGCATAGCAAGGGAGGAAGACAAACAACTAACAAACAAACAAAAAACAAGGCTAGCTCCCTCAGACCAGGTGCACCTGGCATATTGGTAACCAGGTACATGGAGGTTAATTTTACTGAAACAGGAAACACAGAGGAAAGGTTGCTTTGTAAGAAAGATGCTAAATGTATTTGGGAGGATGCTGGGTTTGGTGTATCTAAAGAATAGTTAAGTCCAAGATTTTCAACAAGAAAGTGAAAAAGAGATTTCCAAAGCTCAGAAGAGTGATCCAGATCAGATATCTAGAGCACAGAACCCTCAAAGCCATGGCAGAGGTTGAATTCACAGGGAGGGTGCTTGGAAAGGCTGAGTGGATCCCCAAGCAACATTTTGGGACTGACTGTGCCTTCACACAAGCTAAAGTCATCTCAAAGGAGGGAATCTCAATTGAGAAACTGCCTCAATAAGATTTGGTTGTGGGGCATTTTCTTAATTGGCGATTGATGGGGGAAGACCCAGCTCATGTGGGTGGTGGCCCTGGGTTCTATATTAAAGCAGGCTGAGCACACCATAGGGAGCAAGCAAGTAAGCAGCACCCCTCCATGGCCTTGGCATAAGCCCCACATTCGTGTTCCTGCCCTGTTTGTGTCCCTGCCCCGTCTTCCCTTGATGACGAACAGTCATGTGAAAGTGTAAGCCAAATAAACTCTTCTCTCCCCACCTTGCTTTTGGTCATGGTGTTTCATCACAGCAATAGTAACCCTAATGAGGACAGTGGTTAAGAAGAGGAAGTGGAAGCCAGGTGGTGGAGGTGCATGCCTTTAATTCAAGCACTCAGTAGGCAGAGGCAGGTGGATCTCAGTGAGTTTGAGGCCAGCCTGATCTATAGAGTGAGTTCTAGGATATCCAAAGCTACACAGAGAAACCCTGTCTCAGAAAAAAAAAAGAGGGAGTGGAAAGTGGCAGGATAGGAATGAAGCTGTCAGTCAGGGCCACCCCAACCAAACACACCCTTAGGCAAGAGAACATATCTCTTCCTATGAGCAGTTTGGGCCAGGGCCTGGGGCTTCATGAACACAAAAGTCAATGTTTTTTATACTTTGCTTGCCTCCTTGGCTAGGTGCCATCATGTTGGGAACAACTTGCCTCACATAAAGGGAAACATATACAGGGTCATAGAAACCAAGGAAATAAGTAGCAAGGCCAGCTAGAACTAGATTATGTATGAAGAATAGCCACAGTTGTGCATGCTCTGTCTCTGTCTCTCTCATGCACACACACACACAGAGAGACAGAGAGAAACAGAGAGAGACACAGAGAAAGAGATACTGTTCTTTTTCAGGAAAATAAGGCACAGGGGGCAGAAACGTTGTACCTATTGGCTAGGGCCTTGCTATAGTTTGAATATGTCCTTCAAGGTTATATGTTCATTCCCATGCAACAGTGCTGGGAGGCGGAGCCTAATAAGATGTTAGTTCATCAGAGCCCAGCCTCACAAATGGCTTAATGTCATTATTGGCTCAACATGATAATGGGAGCAGGTTAGTTATCATAAGAGTGGGCCACTATAAGAGCATGTTTAGGCCCTTCAGGCTCTCTTGTGCCTTCTTTCTTTTACCTTGGTGCCATCTTTCTATAGGATGTGAAGCTTCACAAATCCCCTTGCCAGATACCAGCACTATGCCCTTGGGCTTCCCAAACTCCAGACCCATGAGCCAAGTAAAACACTATTCATTAAAATTACCCAGCATCAGATATTCTGTTACAGCAGCAGAAAATGGACCAACTCAGGATCCATGCCAAGGACACTTGAGGGAGGAGGGACTCTAATGTTGGTTCCAGCCCTTTACCGGCCAGTTCTTCCCTTGACCCAGTACCTTGATCAGGAAAACACTGTCAGGACCACGACGGAATGCAGCATCCACTGAGCTGGTGGAATTCTTCCATCTCTCTGAGATTGTTTCTCTGATCCATGTGTAACCCTTCCACACGAACTCCCCTGAAAAATCAACACTCTCTGAGGTTATCCAGAACAAACATTTGGATGACTGAGATAGCTATTTATACCCTCAGAAAATCCCTGAGCCCTCCCACAGATGAAGACACCCTCTGAAGGGATAGTGCCTGGAGGTCCAAATATTCCAACCTTTGTCACTTTCATTTGTTTGCTTTTTAGACAGAGTCATCTATGTAGCCTGGGCTGGTCTTGAACTTATTATTTACTGGCCTCAGATTTCCTAGTTCTGGGAAATATATATATATATATTATCAATATCATAGCTTTCTCCTACCTTTAAAGAACAGCATGGTCCCATTGTGATCCAGGGTGGCAGCATCAAAGCTCCAGCCATCTGAGCAGCGCTCTGGGTTGGAAAAATATCAGTAAGATGATAAAATGCAGAGACAGAGAAGACAAAGACTCAGGGGATTGGGGCCTCACCGATTACATCTGAGTCTGGCTTGGTCTCACTTTCACCTTCAGCAACATTCCCACGGGCACTAGAGAAAACACAAATAGATATCTGGGTCCATTGGATCCTATTCCTCTTCCTTAGCTCATGGCCTAGGTCTGGAAACTGGCCCCATCACACTCAAACCCAGATCACAATCCTCTTTTCTTAAGTACAGTTTTACTCACGAAGGAAGAGGGTTGGCAACAGCCAGGGACCAGCACAGGCCCAGCAACACCAGGGTTACTGGTGATACCACCGTCCTAGCCATGCTGAGCTGGAAAGGTCACAGGACAGCACTGGGCATGAGGCTGAACTTATACAGAATCGGAAACAGCACCACCCCCATTTCTAACCCTATTGAGAAATAGCGATGTCATATTTGCAGATGGCATCACAGCAAATAAGGTCAAAGTCTAAAAAAACCCCAAATCCAAGACTCTGTCTTCCCGGCAGTAGCCCCCCCCCCCCTTCAGCAAATTTCCAGCTGTGACTAGCTCATATCTACTGGGACTCTCTCAAATACTGACAGGTGTAGTTGCTCATAAATCAGAATAGGGTGGACAGTTACCTTTATAAGGCTGAGTTTATCTCTACAATGGGAGAGGAAAGAAGGGGGAAAGTGAACCTTTTCTGTGTACTGAGTATCAAGTCCAACTCAAGCAAAGCCTATGACAACTAAACAGACCACTGCTTATAACCCTGCACACACGAATGAGCTTCCTCAGAGATATTCAAAAGAACCTTTTCCAAGCATCAGTCATGGGGGCCTCTTCTAGGGGTACCCCCAAACCTTTACAGATGGTTTGGAGATATTATCTATCGCCAAATAATTGTCTCAATGTGCCAAACCCTGTCCCAAACTCAACCAGAAAAAAAAAAAAAAAAAAAAAAAAAAAAAGCTTCAAAAAGCTTCCGAGGGAAGGCGTGACAGTATCAGGGCCCGAAGAGTGTCAGTTCCCTGTAGTCTCTCTTGATAATTCCAACTTTGGGGCGGGGGGGGGGGAACACTTATTTATCTATCACAGAACATACCGAATTGAAACTAGGATTGCACAATGTTTATAACTGATTTTGACTTAAAGGTTCATTACCTTCTTCATACATGCTCTCTTGACTAGCTTTTCCGACCTCTCAGCCTCTCATTTCCTTTATGTCACCTACCAAAACTTGACATTATTTCCAGGTACTTATTGATTGCTTTTTGTTAGTTTTGTTTCTTAAGCAATCCCGGGTTTTCCCACATACCAGGCAAGCACTCTGCTATCCCGAGTCCTGTTCTTGTTTTGTTTTCACTTCACTGACCTGCTTTTCTTCTTATCATTGCATTTCTGAGAATTTTTCCTCTTCTGAAGCAAGTGGACATTATTAATGGGGGTACCTTTATGACAGGTACATACTGAACTTTAGCAGTCACATTTGTTTGCCACTGCCCTTTGTCTGGTGGTTCCATTTCTCTCCCCAATGTTTTGGTCCCACATCCTTCTCTTTCCTGAGATATAACCTGCCATTCCCAGTACCTGCTATTCTCACCACTTCCTGGGACCTCCAAAGCCTGCCTCAGTTACACCCAAGACTTGCTGCCAGCTCAGTAGAGAATTGTAGGTAGCAGCAGCTATGCTTTAGCCTGAGTCTCCCAGACCTCTGTTCCTTAGTGGTCCTTCTTAGGGGTCTTATGGTCCTTACATCCCTCTACCCAACCTTGGCAGAAGCCAGAGCTAACCATCTCCTTTATTAAGTGCTGAGATGAGACTGCAGGCCGTGATCATGCTGAGTTCGTGCCCTGCTACTTGCCCCAGGATCTCTTTTCTATTCTGTAAAACTTCCAACTAGAACTCTGGGAACTCTGGGGCATGAGACCAAGTTTCTGCCATCACGTACAATGTCCTCTCTTGACTAACAATGAACATATGTTGTTAGTGTTACTCCTTCCTCATGGGTCAGTGAGCAAAGCTAGATTCCCAAAGGAAAAATGACACAGCTATTACAGCTGAGGCCTGACACCCATCTTCTCCCATCGCAAGGCATCTCTGGCTGGATCTGCACTGGTAGCTGATACCCCAGACTCACTCTCTTCCTCACAGCCTCTGATACCTTATATAGCCTTTCTGGGGATCCATTACTAACTTGTAGGCCAGTCTCTGTCTGCCTAGCAGAGTCTTCTAAAGAGAAACAGCATAAATACTAGATGCTCATTTTACAGCATTGCCTCTTCCCATACAGTTCTGGGCCCCTTTATACCATCCCTGGATCCATCACCTACCTCAGAAAAGTGTTTATGGCCCTTTAATACTGTTGTCTCCTAACTCATGTACCATGCATTCAACTGTTGGCTTAAATGCAATGTCAGAACCTCCAGGGAATGACTAGACCCCCACAGTGTTTCACAAGTAGGCAACACAGATGAAGCCCAACTTCTAGACAAAAACTGTTGAGGTAGAGAATTACATCCACTTACAAACTCTGGGCTGTGAATTGGTGGCAACTTTGGTAGTGGTCACAGATCATAAGTCACAAGGTAGCTCTCTCCTCAAGCACTCAGCACAGTACTGACCTTGCTTTTATTCCTCTCATCAGAAGAGGCCACTTCTGCTTGTCCTCAGTCTATCCAGCCCTCCTCCTGCCTGGACCAAGACATTTGTTCATAGTTATGCACAGGCGCCCCCTGGAGGCCACAGGCACCAGTGCACTCATACCTTCAATCACAGGTCAGAGGCTGGGAAGATTTCCCTCCTGCTGACTGGCTTTCCAGACTTGCCCTAACACTCCTCCTAAGCCCTAGCTACACGGGCTTAGGGGCACGCATATCCTCTTCTCTGCCCCTTTCCTGTCCTCTGTAACCCTCCAGTATTCAGAAGGGGTATAGAGACCTCAGTCTCTAGCTTGATTTCCAGGGAAATTCAAGTTCTGAAAAATACAATCATTTCCTTTTTGGTGTAGTCTTAATTCTCACAACCAACAGCTTTTTTACTTCCTCCAGGAAAGACTGGACATAGGCCAGCAAAACCCTTAATGGCTAGGACATTCTCTGGCATTGCAGGCTCTATATTTAAGCTGAACATTGACCTCATTATTCCTTGGGATAGCTTCGTCCAACCTGCATTAAAACTAATCTGACTTCGGTCATCACTCCTGGGATGACTGAGTACTGAGTGTGCCAGGCCTGGTGCTTTCATTGTGTACCCCAGAGCAGAGCAGAAACTGGATTCTCCCACTCATGGGGTTAGAAAGCTTAGGAATAAAGCTTCAGGCACCTAAAAAGAGCTCACTGCTCCCACTCAACCCCTCCAACAAAAACATTTTCTTTTGCTTTATAATGGATATTCTGGATAGTCCATTCTTTTTTTTTTTTTTAATTTCCATGTGTGTGCCTACTTGTCTTGTATTTGTACTGTGTGCAAGCGTCTGAGGAGGCCAGAGATGGGTATTGGAAGCTTGGAACTATAGTTACAGGCAGTTGTTATCCTCTGGATATGGGTACTGGGAACCACACTCTGATCTTCTGAGACATCTCTTCTGCCCCTAAACAACCTACTCCTATCTCCATATGGTAGAAAAGAATTTATTCACATCTACTCGGAACCTATATCTGTTGTTGTACTAAGCACTTATTGAAACTTCATTTAATTGTTTTATTTTGTTCCTGTGGTTTGCATATATTTATCCTCTCCAAATCCATGGAAATTTACTCCCCAACGAGGCAGAGGTGGGAGTGGGACCTACGGGGAAGGTTTTAGGACAACGCACTTATAAAAACAAGCATATAAAAAGGTTCTCTCTCTCCTGCCATGTGAAGAGCAGTCCCTCCTCATGAGGCACCGAAATCTATCAGCACCTTAATCTTGACCTTTCCGGCCTCCAGATCTGTGAGAAATACATTTCTTTTAAAATAATTCTCCTCAGGTATTTTGTGTTAGCTGTACAAATGGCGGAAGCAGAACTGTTTGTCTTATTTTATGATTGAGGAAACCAACATTAAATATATTAGCCAAGTCACATTGTTAGCAACTGATGGAGCCCTGATTTAAACTTTGACTTCCTGATTCCAAGGTTTACTCCTAAGTTTATAGAGGGCCATGGCAGTAAATATTTAACAGTTATCCTCTAGGGGGAGAAAGCCTTGATTTGTAATTTGCTGACTTCTGTGGTATAAATCCTATCACATCACGATCAAGCTACCAAACGTTTGAAACATGGAATGGGGGAAAGACATGCTGTAATGGAGTTCTGTGTGGTCTTCCTAGCCCTCATATGTAAAGAAACCAAGTGATGCTTTTGAGTATTCTTCAGCATTTATTTTTTTTTAAAGATTTAATTTTAAGGTCATATAGTTCAGCTTTTTTTTTTTTTTTGAGACAGTATGTAGCCCATGCTAGCCTCCCACCCATGACCCTCCCACTACAGCCTCCTGAGTACTAAGCTCAAAGGCTTGTTTTAATGGTTTTTCAAGACAGGGTTTCTCTGTATAGCCCTGGCTGTCCTGGAACTCAGAAATCTGACAGCCCCTGCCTCCCGAATGCTGGGACTGAAGGTGTGCACTACCATGCCCAGCAGTTTGCAGGTTTATGATCACAGATCCCAGAGAAACAAACCTACCTGTCCAGTAGCACAGAAATGTTATATAAACTTTTGCTAACACACATTTTAAAAAACCCTATATGAACCCTTAAAACAAAACAAACCAAATATCTGGAGAAATAGCTGGGCATGGTGTTGCACACCGTGAATTCCAGCACTAAAGAGGTAGAGGCAAGAGGATCTTTGTGAGTTCAAGGCCAGCCTAGTCTATGTAGGGAGCCCTGGTGCCTGGCTACAGTTTAATAATGGCTGGCTTTTAGCAACCAGGTCTCAAAGTTGCTTATAGTTTTTGTGAGGCAGGCACAAAAGAGCTACAGAATCCACTAACCACCATACAATTTAATTGTGCAGAGAACATAATTATTTTTTGGTACTGGAGAATCAAATATGGAGTCTGGCACACACTAGGCAAGCATTCTACAATTGAGCTATGCAACACCAACCTCAAGATAAGGCGTTATCTGCCTTTTCCCTCACTGCTGTATCTTCAGCACATGGAACAATGCCTAAAATACTGTATTACATAAATATTAAATCCTGTGAATTCTGCTTTCTAATTATACATAAAATCTGTATATTTCTGCCCCCTTACTAGTACAAGCACTGCGTTTTTTCATCTGACAGCTTCCTCACTTCTGTTCCCCTGTAATCAGCCTGCTCCTCTACACTGGGCTTCATTATCAGGGTGCTCTCCAGAAGGGTACCCAAGGTTATCTGTTCTTGCTTAAAAGACATGTTATATATTCCAGCTTTGTCACACCTCACCTACCACCACCACCCCCCTTTTTTTTAGGTAGGCTGGCCTGGAATTTGCTATGTGGACTAGACAGACTCTCAAAACACTTAGAGATCCAACTGCTTCTGCCTCCCGAGTGCAAGGATTAAAGGCATGTGCCACCATGCCTGGCTCTTTCCCCATTCTTATAATGTCCTCCTTAAAAACAAGGATCCTTTTTCTTTTACAGAACACCTCACACATCAGCATTTTTGTTGCTGTTTTAAGACAGATCTGACTGTAAGGTCTGGTATGTAGCTCAGGCTGGCCTCAATCTTAAAGCAATCTGTCTACCTTAGCCTCCCACGTGTTGCGAACTCAGGCTTGTAAAGACAAAACTACACCTTGTTTTTGTCTTTTGGGACAGAGTCTCTGTCCTAGAACTCCCTATGTAGACCAGGCTGGCCTGAAATTATGAAGACTCTCCTGCATCTTTGCCTCTTGAGTGCTGAAGTTAAAAGTGTATACCACCATGCCCAGCTATTTCTCCAGTTTATGTTTTTTCAAAGGTGCAAATAGGGTATTTAAAAATACATGTTAGCAAAAAGTTTATGTACCTGTTCTATGCTGATGGGCAAGTAGGTTTATCTGGAATCTGTTTCATTTTTTTTTCTTTTGGTTTTTCAAGACAGGGTTTCTCTGTGGCTTTGGA